CGGTCAATGCGGGGGAAGTGGTTGGTCGGGTCAGTAGCTCATCCCCCTCTGTTTGCACAGCAATTAATTATGGGTATATGTACAGGCGAAACGTCATGGTATTATATATCCATCCAAACACACGCGTATTCTATCTAACCAGTGACACCATCGCAGCGATTCTGGAGCCTCATGCGTGTTCCAGGTGAGAAATCTGTTCTGCAGCTTTACATCTCGCTCTTATTACCATCATACAGAACGAATGGTACTCCCAATGCCTTCCTGGAAGCGGCGGAGCGACTAGTGCAACGAGCTCAACACGAGCGACCAGCTCTACTCGCGTGAGCACCACCGCACCCGCGACTACGCAACCACCTACCACTGTGCAACCTCCTTCCGGCATCACCACGACTCTGCCTGCCTCTGCTGTGCGTTCAGCAGGCCACGCTCCAATGAGAATCCCCTTGCTAATTTCTTACACATAGGGTTACACCGCTCTCCCTACTGCCAGAGTTATCTCTAGCTCCTTCGATGGAGGCATGGTGCGATTTGACCGTGCCGGAAGCAGTATGTTTATCGCCCCTCAATGCCAGCGCGCGGTCGTCTGATGGACTTGTGTGTTTAGGCGGTGAATGTCAGGGTCAGAATGAAACTGGAGAAGAAGACGCCGTCTTCATCTTGGAATCTGGGGCATCCATCTCCAACGTCATCATTGGCAAAGATCAAGCGGAAGGTCAGCGTCTCGTCCATTATCTTATCTCATACACTTCACCATTGTCCTCTAGGTATCCACTGCCGTGGCCCATGCACTATCACCAATGTTTGGTGGGAAGATGTTTGCGAAGGTATGTACTACATCCGGTAACCTAGCGGTAACAAAAAGACTCATAATGTATCCGCAGACGCCGCTACTGCAAGTGCCTGCATATACCCCTAGTCGTCGTTCAATAACCCTTGCTTTCTAGATCAAACAAACTGGTGCCAACGATGTTACCACTATCAACGGTGGTGGTGCCTTCCACGCTTCAGACAAAATCTGTTGGTCCTGTCTTCCTTCGCTACCTCTCAGTGACTAACCCATCCCAGTCCAGCACAACGGTGCCGGCACAGTAAAAATTAACAACTTCTTCGCCTCTGATTTCGGTATATCCTTTTCCAAATTCAACCCATTCACCTCGCTGATGTTGATCATCTCCCCTCAGGTAAACTGTATCGTGGCTGCGGAAACTGCGCTACCTCGTACGAGCGCCATGTCGAGGTCAACAATGTCTGCTTCAGAGACGGGAAGGAAGGCGTTGGCATCAACTCCAACTGGGGCGACACTGCCATCCTCTCGAACATCAAGACGAACAACAAGCCCACTGCAAAGAATTCGTGCTGCGCGTACAAGGGCGTCGCTAAAGGATCCGAGCCCTCGAAGATCGGCTGGTGAGTGATGTTCTATCCCTCGAGTATTAGAACTTAGGCGTTGATTCTTGAATGTTTAGTGGCGAATCTCAAGCTGCTTGCCAGTTCTCAGAATCTGCTGTTGGGACCTGCTAAATCGCTTCTCACTATCCTTGTCACAAGCGACTCAGGATAAGACGCAAATTATGTATACGCTCTTTCACAAAAGGAATATCTCTCGTTCGACTCTGTGTTTACTATATATCACCCCCTCTGTTGTTGTTACAAAATCATCAATGAAGACAAGTGAACCACTTGTTTAACCTATTTCCCAAGTTCGGGGGCGTACTTCCTTAAGACATCGTTCAACCCTTCCCTTTTCGCACAGTTCTCAAACGCAAACGACTTCGCTAACTGCTCTAACCCTTCTTCATCCAACCCCTTCATGATACTTGCCCACTCCCCTACAAGGTACTCCGCCACCAGCGTCTGTCTGGAGTACCGAGCCACTCTCTCCTCTAGGCTCCAAATCGGGGGGTACAACCTCTTCGTGTCGGCGTCTGGACAAGCTTCTTTGATCAACCCCACGATTGGCTCGTAAACCTTTTTCACGTATTTATCGTCGGCACCCCAGGAATCGACAGCCATTCGATACTTTTTGGCGAGGAAGTCGCGGAAGCGCGTCATATAAGGCGTGTCTGGGACCACATAGACCATTCCTTGGAAGCCTATGTCCTTGTAAAGCCAGATAGACCAGCTGAGTCGATCCTACAAGCTCGACGTTAATATAGAGCCTAAAAAACCAACCATGTAGTAAATCCACGCCTTGTCATATATCGCTAGTTGATCTTCAAGGACGTTGTACCTTCGCTGGTTGATGGCGTCGGTCGCGTCGCCATCGTATGGTGGCCTTGCGTACACCGGCCCCCACTCCCCGTTCCAAACACACAACCCCCTTGCGTCCATCCAGGCCCTCTTGCGCTCATAGCTGCGCCTCATCATCTCTCTCTGGCTGTTCGTCCTGTCGTACGGCTCCGGGCTCTTCGGGAACCCATACACCGAGTAATCATGTATCGAAAACGCCGTGTTCCCCCACCTCGCGCCCGCATCGTCCGGGAACTTCGTGAAATCCGTGGCATACGTGTTCCCGTCGAGGAAGATGATGTGGTCGGCGTCGATGGCGCGGATGGCGCTGTGCGCGCGGTCGTAGAAGCCGAGTAGCCGCGCGTGCTGCGGGTGCGGATCGGCGGGCTCGTTGAGGACGTTGTACCCCGCGATCCACTCGTGGCCTCTGTAGTGCGCCGCCAGCTGCTCCCACAGCCATATCAGGCGGTCCTGGAAATCTTTGTGGAGCCAGAACCGCGCGAGGGGGGACCCGTGGTCCGAGTGCCAGCCCCCGTTCTGCCCGCCGGGGGCGGTGTGCATGTCGATGATGGTGTATATCCCGTATTTGGCGCACGCGTTCACGACGCGGTCTAGCTGCGCGAAGCAGTTGGGCTTGAGCACGCGGGGCGCCATGTCGTCTTCGAAGTGCCGGTAGCTGACGGCGATGCGGATGCAGTTCAGGCCGAGGGAGTGGAAGAACCGGGCATCGTCCTCAGCGAAGAAATAGTCGAGAAACTGGAAGACGGCGTTTGACTACCATGGTGGAACTGAGAGACTTAAGTGAAATGAACCTTTTGGAAGAAGAATTCTGCTTTTTCCTTGCCAATCGTGTCCGCTAAGCTTTCTCTTATTTGATACTCACAGCCAGGAAACCCTACGGGTGAGGCGCTGTGTGTTATGCATTCTCGTCCACGTCATGGACCACTCACCAGAAATGAAGTTCTCCATTCTGATCGAGCGATGTGAATAGCTGGCTGGAGAGTCCAAGCGAGACTCACGTCATCCATCCACCAAGACCAGCACCGCGAAGTATAATCTCATTCCCCTCATCATCAACGATCTTCGCTCCTTGAACAGTGAGCAGTGGCATTAGTGATGACAGTTGGTGTGGGGAATCAGCGGAAGGCCGGACCGACGTCGATCACACATAACTCAGAGTCCCACAATGGCTAGAAAAATATGTGCAATTCATCGTCGGGCAAAGCGGTGGCTAGCCTTTTGGTTACGCCGCACATCTTCGTCCTTGAGTTTGGAATTCAAAGCTGTATAGACCTCCCGAGCATATTTCTCCCCGTCCTGGCATTGACATAAGTACGGAATAAGCAAAAGAACGGTGGTTTGCGCACCTCGATCCCCTGCTTCACCGTCTTTGCGTCTAACTCCCCGATACCAAGCACCCGCGTGCCCTGCAAACACGCACCTGAAGGCAAGAACGAGAATGCCAGCAGAAGCCTCAGCGGAGTCGCGGCCTCTTCTTGCGCCGAAGCGTCGAGATAGTACATGGGCGAGATCAGATTCAGCGTGACGGATACCGGCCACGCTTCGCGGCCCTCAAGCGGCTCCCCCTCGTCCCAGAAATCATGCAGCTCGAAATCTGCGATCGAGGGCTGCTGGCGCGTGTCCAGACCGCTCGCGTCGTCGATCTCCATCCCCCCTGTGCTGCGATTGGCAGCAGCGGCCTTGTATTCGATGCTTCGGGTGCGCGGGACCTTGGTGTCCCACAGCGCAGCTCTGGCGGCCATGAACAGCGCGTCGTAGACGTTCCCCGCGTCGGAGAGGACGATGAGATCGAGGTTGAGTAGCCACGATTTCTGGCCCTTGACGATGCCGAGGTTCGAAGGGTGCAAGGAGGGGTGCGAGAGGGTTTGATTGACGATCGTGGTCATGTCGTATTGTAGGTCTTCGAGTGCACCTGAGGACAGATGGGGATACGCTGCAGGAGAGCTGTCTTCAAATAACTCAGTGCATCAGGATCGCGAGGTACTGAATGTCGCGTACCAAGTCACTGAACAGACGACGCGTCCCCCGTCGACGCCGCCAGCCTTCACATCTTCAACCTCCAGCTTTGTCGCGGCGAGAACTTCGGTCCCCCCTCCTCCGCGAAGACTTCGGCCAATTGTGAGGCGCGCGCTCCCGTTCGCGAGTGGTGCGACGCCAGTTTCGAGTGCAACGGTCCGAAAATCGTGTAAGGCGCGTCCGTCAGACCGATGGGGAGGTTGTGCTAGAATACCGGCCTGGATGTAGGACTTTTCGGCTTTCGATAGAGATATCATGGTGTTCTCGTGAAAGATCGTAACGTATATTATTCTGAATTTGATTGAATTTCGCAGGCCTCTGCTATACGAAGAATCAGCTCACCATAAACGCTGAATTGCCCACAAGTAAAGCATCGGATATGGTGTAACGGCTAACATTGCCGCCTCTCACTGGTGGTAGATCGCGGCAGCTCGGGGTTCGATTCCCCGTATCCGAATTTTTGCCTATTTTATGCGCGCAGATGGTACGAGGAGGGCATATGTATTGTTTAATGCGAGAGGATGTCCTTGATTGCTAGTGTCGTGAATGTGTAAGTTCAATGGTAAGTAGAAGGCAAAATGGTAACACAATAACACTTCTCCTAATCTACCGCAGGGCATGAATGCAAAAAGACTCACCTGACCGTTGAACAGAGATCGTTGGACAGAGAGGTTAACATATTCGTGCATCTCAGTAATACAACAACCATGTCAAGCGCGTAGGATGGGCAAAAATTCGGATACGGGGAATCGAACCCCGAGCTGCCGCGATCTACCACCAGTGAGAGGCGGCAATGTTAGCCGTTACACCATATCCGAGTTATTTGATGGCAAGTCCCCATCGTACCTGATGCGGAACCGCTAATTGGTATTAATGATCAACATAGAGACTTCGAGCATCCATTTGCCACCGTGCCAACGTACCAATGGCCATCGACTGCAGCAAATAACATGGCAGTCATCTCAGAGTTTTCGTCTTCCGTTCGCGTGCCGTATGATCAAATTCACTGTGCTTTCTTTGAAATAAGTGGGAATGAGACGGTACATTGAGGTAGTTAATTGCCTCATTATCTGACTTCCTGCTTGCTGTGAACCTCGGCGTAGATGATCAAATATCAGGCAGAGGAAGAGTGCTAGGCCTGTATCATATGACTCCAATAGCTTGACGACTGAGTTCTGCGCAACGAGTTCGTGGTCGCGGGGTTGGGTTGTCATCTCTTTCACGGCGTACACTCGTATTCCAGTTTCGTACGAGTCATCATGCAATCTCATGTTCTGCCAGAAGCTAGTTTGAGATGTCAATAGCAATTTATCATTTCATCTCTGGAGAGACGCACCATGTTCGGTATACCGTTAGAGATGGGATATACGTGGTTGCAATTTGGACATATCATCTGTCCTTCTTCGATGTGCACCTGTGGCAAGTACAGTGAGAAAAACAACACCAATTCACACAGTAAGACTTCAAATAACCTCAAGAAGTACGTGGTGCAACGTTTTCAGTAGTTCATCATCCATCATCTCGGGCTGTTCATCTGGTAACGATGTATCACCAAGCTACCAACAACTCCATGAGATCAAGGACACAAAATCCATCTTGTGATGCTCACCCCCTTCGCGGTATCCACCAGGGCCTTCCACTCAATCTTCGGCAGCAATCCCCTGATAAATTCGGGATTGAACTCTGCATCGCGGTGCTCAATCTCTGCGTCTTTGAATTGTAGGGGGAAGTTGTTGGTCGTGCATCCCTTTGCATGGCAAGATAGGAGGTTATGGGTAATGAGTCGCACCATGGTCGAGCCGAGATGGTTGGGCTGTAAGTTACGGAGAGGTCGAAACTTCGAATCTTATCCAAGATCCAAGAAAAGAATTGATCAAAAGCGCCCGGCCGATCACTGTTAGGCGCCTATTATTGCACTAGTGAGTTCCAATGTTTTTCTCATGTTGTGCTGTTATTTCTACCCTGGCTCTTTGGTTCCCGTCGCCTGGATATCATGGCCATCCTGAGCCCCAGTCTCCAGCGCCGCCGCTCGCAGCCTCTATCCTCGCTTGCTGACGCCGACATCAAGCAGCAGCCCCAGGAGCCAACGAAGACCAGAGCCGATGGGTCTCCTCGACAATCCTTCGTTTCCTCTGGCTTGCTGATTCGCAAGGTTTCGAGTATATTCAGCGGGAGAAGCAAACGGTCGAAGGAGAAAAATGGGAAGCCCGAATCGAAATTGAAGCACGCACCAATTGGCCACATCGCTGTAGGGCGCCCAGGACTTGGGGGATACGAATCAACGACCCCGTCCCCTTCTACTGAGTCTTTTGAATCAGATATCAGGCAGCCGAGCGGCCTAGGTCGTCTGCGAACCGGCTCGCTGTCGTCAAACGGGGACGCCGAGACAGCCCCTTACGAACGCGTCCGGGCGCTGAGCACACCAACGTTGCTGCGCCCAGCTGGGGTTGGTGGGGGAACGGGGGCTTTAGGACGACGCGTTGCAGGTGTTGGCCGAAGTGTCCCCCGTGTCCCCCAACCGATCCTCAACCTCATCGTATCGTTCCTACCTCGACAGCATGTCCCCCGCGTTTCGTTAGTCTCAGGAGCATTCTGCGAGGCTGCAAGGGCCACGATGTTCGCCCACCTTGACGGTCGATTCATCCGCCCAGTCCGCTTCACTAAGCTGATGAGTCTGCTGGCTTTGCGCCATGACTTAGCATTGTTGGTCGAAGCCCTTACTATCCACGTATGGCCACCCTCTTTCTACCTTGACGGAGAGACACAGATCTCTATGCTAGCTCCGTCGACACCGTCATTCGCGCAATCGCTACTCAACATGCATCGTTTGAAGACACTCACCCTCCCCTCATTTGAATATACCCTCATGCGATATTTCTCACCGCTGATGTTGACGAAGGCGACATTCCTCAACCACACGATGTCTGTGGGAGACCAGCTGCAACTGCGAACATGGCTCGAATGCCAAGAGGAAATTCGACACCTTTCATTCCCTGTGCTCATAGAACGATCCAGCGAGAGTCCGTGCTCACCACTAGCTCAGTCAACGAGCTTACGACCAACACCCGAAAACACTCCTTTACTAACACCGGTCTCCCCGACCTTTGCGTTCCCTTCGATGCCATCCACTCCAACAACGCCTTATTCATCAGCACGTCCTCGGACTTCTCCCCAGTGTTCCCCTCTGTCCTCCCCCCTTCCGTCCCCACGAATCGCCTTCCCTTCAGGAAAAACCCTCAGCCCGATCCTCCCCCATCTGGAGACACTGAGCGCCACACCCAACCTAACTACTTCTCTTCTCATCCAATCATCTGCATCTTCATCTATGGGTAAACTATCCTTCCCTCCCTTGGAACACATTAACCTCCGTGTCCACAAATCTCTGTACGCCGGCCTCCGACCGTCGACTGTGATGCAGGCCATCTCGCATAGGCGCACCCGCATCCTGAACTTGCGCTTCAGCGAAGATATTGACCCACGCACGATGGAGAAGGTGCTGACGTCCGCGGGTGCGATATTAGGGCGCGCACCCGATGGTTTAGTGACGTTGAGTGTGACCGTCGAAGGATCAACGCCGAACGACGAGGTTTGTTAGGTTTATCCTGTAGTTTGTAACTTCAGGTGCTGACATCTATGGTATAGGAGCTCTGCAGGATGATGAGCACCGTCCTCGTTCGTTTCACGCATTTGCAATCGCTGGCGATGCATCGCACTGATATCCCAGTCCCTTCAAAATCGGGTTCGCTCTCTGACTCGGAGCAGAGCTACGTCGTCAGCTGGGCGAGGGCATGCTCGAGATTACGAGCGGTCGCCTTTGCCTCGGGGGCACAATGGGAGGACGTTCATCTATGATGAACTTGATGTGGTGGTTTTCAATTAAGCACTGATTCCTCCGTTTCGGGCCCCGTCTGGGTTGTACACATATTCTTTTCTATCGCGACATAGATCTATATACCTTATGCTACAATACGTTCTTTCGATATCGCTGTGCAGCTTTACGGATTATATTCTCAATGGATTTTGTCATTGGCCACTTTTTAGATTGCGGGCGCTTGTGAGACTGCGTCCAGAACTCCTGGAGAGGGAAATCTAAACCCAGTCTTTTTTTTTTTTTTTTAAAATCCTAGCTTAACCTCCGTAGTGGCAGTGCCATATGTGGGAGGGTGTGGTGCCTATTGTATCTACTCTCTGTATCGTCTCAGTGCCTAATGCTATGGGGAATGTCCAGTCCAACTGCCTGATGCCGCGTTGCAGCATCGTGGCGGTTTACACCGCATAATAGAGTGGCGGGGGTAGTGAGCCCTCCGCCGCATTCCAAGTAAGGTATTGAAGGATGTCGGATTGCTGTCCCGCGTGTAGTCCACTGTGTTCCCTCGTGCTGTCGTGTTGTTGCATCGTCGCATCCCCTGCCTATCATCCCCACGTTATGCGCCTCGTACTGGCCACAAACTCGAGGACCTCTGGGTAGTATTTCACGTTCCCTAGCATCGCGTCTGCCGATAGTGCTGCCCGCCCAATCTTCCCTCTCATTACCTCCCTTGCCGCCCGATGTGCTCTGCTAAACCCAGTCACTCAAGCCAAACACTACACGACGCGTCCGGCTGTGTCATGTTCAATTCCAAGAAGAGGTACCGCTTTTGAACAGTCAGAATGATCCCCTCCGATCCGCGCAAGAACTGTTTTGTTTATAAGGTCGGACAGGCGAGATCAGCTATTCCAGAATGCATAGGACTGACTGAAAATTTTCAGTCGTGGAGTCGAGCAGAGTTCAGCTCGGTAGCACAGTCTAGCCACTCTGGTGTTGACAAAGTGAGGTACAAAGCAGTGCACACGTATGAGCCTCCATTCGGGCACTTCGAGTTCATTCCGTGCCATGATACCATCGTGATCGAGGTGCCTTGGATGTTGACAGTGAGCAGAAACATGTGCCTCAGCTCAGTTCCTATCTCAGTTTCGCCGTTTACATACTAACTGAAGACCTCTACATCGTAGTGGCATCCAGTTAATACCTGTTCTCCGTTCAACGCCGGGCGGTAATACGGTGAAGCGGCGGATGGGGCTAATTTTAGGGTTAATTTGCCTTCAACGGACCCCGCATTTACTTTCGACCCGACCCTGCTCGTACTCCGGAAAGGATGCCGAGGGAGCAACACGAGATTGTCTGTTTCGGAAAATTCCCTTTTATAGGCGATCTTTTCTACAGGTGTTGCAGGGATCAAGCCACGACAACGCAGATTGCCGCTGTTCAAAAAATGGTAGACCTTGGGCTATCTGGCCATCATGATGAAGGACGTCCAACATCAAGACCTTCCCATGGTTCCGCTTTGACTGGGTATCCATCGACGCTGCACCGCCGCTCTCACTCCACTGTACCACCTCCATTTCCTTCTGCACATATCCCTCACCTCCTAAATGATTCACAACTTCAGGCAACGACATCGCCTGCAATCTCTCACCATGAAAGAAGACGCGTTCGCTAGCCAACAGACACTTTCCATCAAATCGACGTCAACGTCTCGTTCAACCGGGATTATGCGTCATGTATCTAATTTGCTGTCGGGCAACAAGAAATCGAGCCAGAAACTTGGCAATTCCTCACCGACAAGTTCTGTGTTCAAGATGCCGAGGTCACTCACCAGCCGACCTTCAAAGTCGAGCTTGGTTTCGACGTCGTATTCGCCTTCAGTGGATTATGGCAAGTCCTCGAGCAATTCGTACGCCAACGTCTTACCCTCAGATTTGCCCTCGCTTTCAACTCGAAGGGTCCCCCAAACTCCAACGATTACGCGAGTTGCTGTAGTAGGGCCCCTTCCTCAGG